GCCCACGACCGCCTGAACAGGGCGCAGGCCATGTTCAGGCGGATCCTGATTTGGTAAGTCGGGGACTCCGATCAGCGCAACGCAGGGACTATCGGAGTTGGTGCTCTCGATATTGTGCGTCCACGGAGTAACATCTCCTATCAGCCCTCGACACCCCACGACCTGCACTACCGTTCGGCCTCCACAACATGTCCCACCCCACGGAACCAGACGCACTACAGCAAGCATGCATGGCGCTCGACGCCTATGATCTCGCTCAACTCCCGCCTACGCCGACCTGGGGTGCGCAGAGAGACGCGCACTCGGTGAACTCGGAGAGGGCAGACTACCCCTGGGGAGAGCCAGAGCACCTGCCATTCCCCCAGGTCGAGGTTCTTACGCTGAACGAGCCCACGCCAGAGGGCAAGGTCAGATTCCAGGTAGTGACGAGACAGCCCGTAGAGGGGCTGTTGAAGTGCAACGGCGACAACGACGTCAACGTTGACCTGCACTTGCTCGTGCGTGGCGAGACCGGTGGACTGCGCAGCACTTCGGTACGAGGCTTACAGGACATATATTGACTGTAGCTAACCGGTTCCTGGCAGATCGAGTTCCCCCGGAGTCTGGCAGAGGTACGGGGCGCACGCGACGAGACGTGGCTCGAGGAATTCGAGCGCGTACTCGATTGGTTCCCGGAAATGGACGCCGAACAGCGCCAAGTCCTCCTGGAGACGGTCTACATCTACGATTGGTTTCATCGCGCCGAAATGAACGACGAACTGGGCATCGTTTGGAGGGACTTTCAAGGCGCGCGAACCAGTGCTCTGTTAGGAAGCTGGTTTTCGCCTGTTCGCGCGGAGGAGATACTGAGTTGGCTGATTGAATGGGCGCAGACGAGGATCCCGGTGCGTGACCACGATTGTAGCAATATCTTTGCTGAGACTAACGACTAGGAATTGCAGTCCACCTTCCCCGTTCAGGCAGACGGCTCGGTGCAATCCAGCGACGTCGCGGACACGGACGATATCGCCCTTGGTGAGCAAGTACCCCGGGCACAAGATGGCCACTGAACGGGTCTGCGCGAGCTGAATGTGGAGCGACGGAACCCGAGGGTATATCCAAGGAACGCGTGCTTGTATTTGTGGATTGCTTGATGTGCGCAACTAGCTACGAATAGTGATGACGTCGGAGTCTTTAGTAACTTCCTAGAGGCGACCGGTCTCATCGCACGCCTGAGCGGGGTGGTGGAGGGCGACCGGAGAGCAGAATCTTGAGGAGGGACATGCATGGAATGAGGAGGGAGCCCACGCTCGTGGAATGCCAGGGCGAAGGTGAGCGCGTCGCGTCTCCTATGTAGTGTACCACGTGACCGTGCAGTCAAAGAGCGCCCGCGTGAGTTGGTGACCCTCTGCCGCCCTGGTGGCATTCACGCACCACCAACACTCGTTGTCAGAAGGCGTGTAAATGCGCTCTAATACCGCGTTTTATTGCTCTCATAATTCCATGGGGTAGAGTGAGATTGCACTGAGTGGAGGCGCGCGTCACACGGGCCAAATTCGGCAGAGTTCGGCGCACTTTGGCGCACCGACGCTTCGGTGCAGGCGACTGCACCGAGCCACCGGGTCCGGGTGATGCGGAAGTCCGTATAGGGCTCAGAACGCGATGTCCTCAATCGCTCGCCACCGGGCTCACATCTCGACCGCCATGTGTCACAAGGTATCCGCCATCCGCTGTGCCGAGCACCCCAAGTGCCTACTCTGCTAGAGTGCTCGACAGACTCTGAGGTCGTCGAATGATTTCACCATGCCGCAAGCATACGATAAGGAGCTCGGAGGAGGGGTGGCAAGCAGACGGACGGAAGCAATTACGGGAAGGGTAAGTTGCAGTATTCTCCCGTAGCTCGAACCAGCTCAAAATCAGGACAGTCGCCGCTGCAGCACTCAGTATTCCAGACGGTCACAGGGTGAAGTTTTCTCCAAGGCGGCCGCGGTCGGTTCTTCCAGGCAGCCTGATATGGGACGCAGCGCGCACCTGCCGAGGTGCGGCGAAGAGGAACTCACAGTATGGCTCGGGCGGACTTCTGACGCATGTCAGGGGTGACTGGGTATTCGAATGGGGTGAGTCATTTTTAACCTCATGCGCCAACCTTTCGCGTACAATGCTGAGCTGCACGCCGGTGTATGCGGAGCAGTCCTTTGCCCTCAACTCCCACTTCCACTTGCCTCTGCGCGCCACGACCTCGCCTCGGACATGGACAATTCCCCGCACAACCACCGGAGGGATCGCTACGAGTGGTGGGAGGACTACTACCACGTCTTCGAGGTGAGCCCGCCGCGCTCAGAAGACCAAGCGCCCTCTCCAGAACGCCTCGATCCTGCCCAGGAAGAACACGTCGTGCAAGAATTGTTGATAGACCTTGCGACTCAGGACTATCTGCCCCCTAGGGACGGCCCGGAGGAGCAGGAGGAGAAGGAGGAGGACGAAGACTTGGAGCACATCGGGAGCAGCGTTTCATTCGAGGAGGGGGAGCTTGCGGAGCACCATCTC